TAATAATAATAATTTAAAAAAATATTTATTAAGTAGATTTTTAAACAATATTTAAAAAATTTATAAAATTATATCGTTTTAATAAATTATCAGTGAAAAAACTAAATAATATATTTTTAAACATAAATGAGTTTGTTTTAGTTTTGTTTTTTTATGGTGTTTTAATAAAACAATATAGTTTTAAGCTTGGAATGCGAGATAAAATCAGATTAAAAAAATGGAATAAAAATTACTTGCAAAGATTGGTCCCAGCAGTTATCATCTCAGCATGATTCAGCTGCAGCCTTGTTCTATCTGAACACAAGAAATTTTACCATATAAAGCTATTGTCAGAGGCATTTTCAGAATGAAATATATTATACCAGACATATATCTCATTATCAATAACATTTTATTGTTAAATCTTTCGCATTTTATGAGCTGCAGAAGTCCTGATCTTGGTAATGACTAATGACACATTAAAGCATCATGAAAAAATGAAAGAAAAATATGCTTTTTGACGATTTAGCCAAATATCAAGTGCACCACCATGCCAATTTCTCTATTGTTCAGCTTTCTAATCCAATTGCAATAACATCCTCCAAGGTTCTGCCTACCTGTCTAATACACCTATCTGTGATCTACAAAATCCTAAAGATTGGTTAAATTAAACTATTTTTTTCTGAAGCATAGTTTGTTTGGGACAAATACAAAACATCATACATCTTGTTCATGTTGATTCACTTCATGTGCCTGCACTGGAATTCTACTGATAGTCTGTTCTGCTATCTGCAAACATATAAATTAATGAATTTTATATACAGAAATAACAGTACAATAGAGTGATCGCCCAATGCCATGATACAACTGTCATTAAAAGGTTTGATTAAATTAAATTTTAAAGTAGAGCACCTCTATAACTTGATGAAAAAAAATGGTAAGATACTGATTTTCTGGATCTGACAAAGCAAAACACACCAGACCTCAATGAAAGGTTAGCCTTTTTTTTTTTTTTTTGGATCAGCTATAGGTTAGCCGGTTAATAGATGCCAAGTAAAATAATCCATGCCATGGTAGCATTTTCTTGCCTTTTAAGTTTGATGTTGAACAGAAGAAAACGTGAGGAGAGAATTTAGAAACAGAGGCAAGGGTGAGGAGAGAATAGCAGAATTGGAGATTTTTAGAAAACTTCTTCAATTCAACTCATAAACTCAATAACCCTAATACAACCGACGGTTAAACCATTAAATAGAAAACTGAAAACCCTAATTAGACTTGATTCCTAGTTAGAATCCTAATTAGAATCTTCGTTGAAAGATAATAACAAATCTTAATAAATATATATTACTGGATAAATTTTACAAATTAATTCCAATATACTCATAATTACAACAAAATCCCAATATATAGATTATTTCCTTTCTTATCTGCATCAAAGTTTAATAGTGCAATTGACAGATAGCAATAGCTACTTGAACCAGCAGTTCATTCTCCAATATATTAAAATGAAATAGAAAACCAAAGAAATAAGATAATGTTAGGAAACAAAGAGACACTAGAAATCAAGTCAAAGTAATTCAACATAGCCATAAAACCAGCAGCATATACCGGTTTGAATGTTTCTTGACTGCAAACAAGCTGAATGTCACTTCTAGCAAGCCTTTGAGATTGCCAGTATGCACCACAAAATGCTCTATCACATCCCAAACCTAAAAAGAGTGTTGAAAATCTAAATTGCTAAGAACTTGAGCTGGAACTTCAAAAACCAATATGTAAGTACTTCAGCCAATTAGACACTAATTATAGGACTTTTCTATTTAATTGGATATAACCAGTTATTTAAAGTGGAAGAAATGATCAAGCAATCTCCTTAGTGTCATGCAATGTAACAGAGAAAAGGAAGAAGGATCATGGAACAACATTAGCATTACATGCACTAGAAATCCACACAAACATACTAATTCTTACAGTGCTGTGGTATATTAATATCAGCCCTGGAAGGCATCATTCCTCCACAAGCTTGACATTGTAAATGGATGGTGTTAGGGTTGCACTGGAATCCACCAATCTCAGTGCCTAAAAATAATAATTGAACTAATTAAACCAAGACCAAACAATGAATTACCAAAAATTAGGAAAAAAAAAAAGGAGAATATTCTTAAAAAAAAAATGGTTAAAATGGAAGTAATATACCTAAAGAAATTCAATGAAACTCAAGTCAAATGAAAAAAAAAAAGGGCTATACATTACATAATACACATCCACCAATTAAACCATATTATTTCCAATGACCTTAATAAGCTATAAATCTTACCACATTGTGGGCAATGAGGCCCTGCATCATCACTTTCCTCACCATCAATGTCCACATCACCATCTTCTTCACTGTCTCTTCTCTCATCCATAAAAAAACATGCCCTCTTTCTATTTTGTCTTTCTCCACTCCTAATGACCTAATAAATATAGTGGATGTGCAACAATTCAAAAGGACACAAAAGAAAGGCTTAAGCTCTTTCAACTGCTAATATAATACATATTCAAAGAAGGTGCAATAACTCACAAGATTTGATTTTATAGTTGCATAGGAATTTAAAACTGTAACTTTTTCATCAGAACGTCTTAGCGAAGGATCAGCTTGTAGTAAGCCCTAAAAAAGCAATTATTTCATTCAAAACATTTAACCATTCATAGATAGGGAAACAAAAGACAAGCACATTATTTATCTTAAAGAAAATTAAATACATACAAGCACAAAATAGATAAAAACTTTCATAATCATAGCCTAATAGACATAAGATAGTCTGAGTACTTTAAAAAGAATATCTACTGGCACCTAAAGGAAAGAGATGGGAAAAGATCATTCAATTAACACAGATGGCAGTGTAGTAATAATCAAAGTGATTAAAAAAAAAAAAAATGAAGGCCAATGCAAGCTCTAAACCCTTAAAACTTTCAAATCGCATTAATCCAACACATTACCTCCTCAATGTTATGCAGAAAGTGATTTCTTCCAGCAAACCGTACAACTGCTCTACACTGCAGACAGAGCACACCTCTTTGTTTCTTCTGTGATCTATTTAACCACTCCGAGAAGCATCCATTGCTGAATATAACAAAAGAAAAGGTAGATTCTGAATCAAATTTGGAATTAAGAAGTTATTGCCAAATGAATGAATGGGTAGGCAAATTACAAACCAGAAGCCGTGAAGACAAGGGGCAATGGTAACAACATCACGCCATATATTCAAGCAGATGCTGCATTTTGCATGCTCAATATCTATACTTATCTGAAACTAAAACAGCAAAGCAGTTATTTGTCAGTAAACCTACAAATGCAGAAGCATACAAAAAGAAATACATCACATGGTTAATGATTATTCACCTTTAACTTCTGCTTGCTGGATTCTTGGTCACACATTACTTTGAATTTGTAGCTTAAATATCCTAGAAGCATCAAGAATAAATAACATTAACCAACAAGCACTCATTACGTAACTTACACCTTTATATATAATTTCAATCTTTGCTTCAACAAACCAAGACTTTTGTCATGTTTTTCTTTTTCCTACTTTTATTTGTAAGACTTAAAAGTTAAGATCTACACCAACCCTGTTATCCCATTAGTAATTAAGGGAATGGTTTGGGGCTTAAGAACTTGTAAGTCAACAAAAATAGTTTGAACCTCCAAAAGCTGAAACATGCTTATAACCTCCTTGAATTTTAGCTAGAGACTAAGGAGTATATACCTATAAACAGTCTGTGATGCAACCACTGAAGAACCAAATTATTTATTCCTTGTTGTATGATTTCACCTCTCAGTCTAAGCAAATTAGGGAATCCATTTTATGAGTAGAAAAACAGTCTGTGATGCAGCCCTTGAAGAACCTAATTAATTAATGTTTAGAGAAAAAATTGTAATTTCTACCCCATCTATGCCCGGTGTTAATATCATTTGGTTAATTTTACATATAATCAATTAGTAATTTAGTATCCTACTTTTGAATTCAAATTGTAAATAGATAAATGAATAGTCTAAGCATCCTGACAGATAGTTATATACTATTCATAGGTTAGGAGGCCTTCATTTCAAAATTTGTGTACTCAGATTTATGAAAAATAAATGGTGAGATACGTTATTGCTCCCACTTCTCTCCCTCTCTCTATTATGCCAACTTTACTTTCAAATTATTATTTACCACAAAACCACACCCATTCACCTTTCTTTTTCTTTTAATTCAAACCCTGAAAACTCTACAGTCATACCAGCCACTCCGTTCACATAATCCCAAGCCTAAGGGTTGCAAAAAAATCAACCAACACAACCCAAGCCTAAATTACCATGCATTTTGCAAGGATCCCAGTGCATGATTCTTCTTATCTGTCTCTTTGCCATCACCCCATTCACATAATCTCAAACACCAGGATTGCAAGAAAATACACAATTTACCTGGCATCTAGCAAGGAGGGATTAATTAGGTTGCAAGAGCACAAGTACACATGCACTTTGCACGTATAAATGCTTCATCTATTTCTCTAATAATGAGCAGAAGGCACTTTTCAAAATGCAGTAAATTCAGGTAAAAGATTATACTAAAAATCTCCTTTTAAATTCAAAAAAGAAAAAGAAAGAACATTACCAAAAACAAAAAGGGAAAGAAAGATAGAAAGATTGTGTATTTCCTGGATAACCAGCAACTATACTCCTTAGCAATTTTATAGAACAAATAATTTGCATCCATATAAGAATCAACAACACATTTAAAAAAAAGGAATCAGGCTTGAACTTTCCACATAAAATTTAGCAACAGAAGTTTAAGATAAAATAAAAATGAACTAGAAGTTATGAAAATATTGGGCATCAAATCAAAGCTAATGCTAACCTTCTTTATTAGGCCCTGCAATTACTTCAGCTCCGCATTCGATGTCAACAACATCTTCACTTTGGACAACAACATCATCAACCAGTATTACATTTGAACTGTATTGATACCCACCATTCAACATAAAAAGAGGCAAATAAATGTTCAAATAAAGATACGGAGTATTATGATGGCTGGTTAAGAAGCACATTTAAATATATATCATATTATCATGTTTCACCAACAAATTGAAACTATTTTGCATCACTTGAAGTCTTGAAAATTTCAGAACTATAAAAGAATTGAAGATAGATTAGTAAGAAAATTGCAAACTACCTCTTGTTTTGCATTGTGGCAGAAAATTGATCTGGATTCCTAGTTATTTTGCACTATTCTTGCTTTTCTTGAGGAGAGCTTTTGGCTTCTGAATTTATCACAACTTCGTTTGAGCTAATCTCGACATCTTCATATTTTGAATCCAAGGATACTGCAGCAAGTATATATCACACAATACCCAAAGTGCTTTGCCTTTAAAGAAATTTCAAATCAGAACTTATCTTTATCCTCATTAATATTTTGTACAAGGCAAAGGCCAAATCCAAGTTACAATCTGGCATTTCCTTCCTGGTGTCATAAAACACGTTCAAAGATTGTTTTTTGTAGTACTGAAAAGTGATCAATGTCCAGAAATGATTATAATAAAGGTTTAACATTAAGAGTTTCGGAGTGTAACGCTTATCCAAGAATTTCATAAGGAAATTACTCATAATGCAAACCAAGACAGACCTAAAGGCCTCCAGTCCTAAGAACTATTTTTTCCCTTTATTTCTAAAAACTGTTTTTTCAGAAAACAATGCCAAGTTGCAATTCCCTATTTATCAGAGAACTGAAAAACTCAATTTCCAAAAATTACATCACTGTAAAACCTGTAAATAAGACCAAAGAGTCTCTCCAGTTCTGAAACTGAAAAACCCAGTTTCTCAGAGAACTAAAAAAACCCAAATTCATTAACCATGTTACGAATTAACCATATTATCTCGGCCCAAAAAAAAAAAAAAAAACCATATTACGAATTCTGACTCTTTGAAGACGAAATAAAAATGCAATTGACACAACCGAAGAACAAAACGGGAAAAGATAACAACTTTTCTTAGTTGGAAACAATGGGCAGAGTAAAGGTGATTACTTTTTTCTTTTCTAATGCATTTTCTTAGCAACCAAACATGGGATAGACGAAGTACCAAGCTTAGCCCAGATTTCCGAAGAGGGTTTTGATTTTGTGGAAGAGGACTGCCCCACCTCCATGATGATCTAAAGGAGAGAACTTGAAGTTTGATAACACAGGAATTCTCCAACGTATATTTATATGTTCTTAGGTTCCAAACCAAAGCTCGCTGGCGAAGACAGTGTCCTTTAACAAGACTTCCACGGCGTCGCTTTTCTGTTTTCCATTTTTTTTATTTTTATAGAATTTAAAAGCGTGGAGGGCAAGAGGAATGGAAGAAACATACCAATATTCCACATTTATAATTAATATTTGACCTTTTTATGACATGTTTTCTCTAATAATTTTTTTTAAGTTTTTAACTTTTGCTTATTCCACATTTATATTTAGTATTTGGCCTTTTTATGACATGTTTTCTCTAATAAATTTTTTTAAGTTTTCAACTTTTGCTTAAACTTTTCCACAGTGCATTTATTACCCAACTTGTAAAAAATTAAAAGAAAAAACACTCAAAAGTTATATTTTGAGTTTTCATTAAAATATTATGTGAAAAACACCAAAATAATTTCTTTGTTACTTTCAAAATAAGTTGTATTACTTTTTCAATTAAAATTTAATAAAACGACATATTTTAAAAAAAAATTTCTTAATTTTTTTAAAAATAATAAACACTTTAATGATATTATTTATAATTTTAAATTTTTAATATTGTTATTCGTCCTATGGGGGGAAACCTGAGAGAGAGTACATGTTCAACGAGGTTGGAATGGCTGATGGTGGGGAAGATGGTTTGCTGATGCAATGCACCACGCAAGTCTTAATTCAGGGATGTTGTTGATGCAATGCATGATTTGCCTTTGAGGAACTTTCCACAGTATTTGCTGCAACTTCTTGTGCCTATGATTTATTCTCAAAATCTCAATTTTCCCACAAAATTGTAGACACTTTTGGGGAAATCGCCTCTGCTTTTCAGTCCACTAAATAGTTCCGTCCATTGGATTTCACTTAATATGCATTCTAAACGGAACTCCTAGATTTACTTACAACAGTTGCTTCCTGAACATGTTCATATAACATAACATTTAACACAAGAAAATATGATAAAAATAAGGTCCAAGTTTAACCCATGTTATAGTCTAACCACATCGGAATTCTGATCATCTAACACATTGTTCCATAATTCAACTTGCCAAGAAAAATAACAAGAAATACATAGATAATCCAAACTTCCTCATTAACCATAGTGTACGACTTGAAAGCATAAAATAACTTAAGAAGCCTCAGCAGCAGGTTGAGTGACCCCATACTTCACCAACAACTTACTCAGAGAATCTGGCGAGCAAACCTGGTACTTCACGTTCCCTGAAGGTGTAAGGAAAACCTCAGCTAGTTCAAGCTTGTCGGAAGTAAGACTAGTGCTGTCCATGGTTTTACTAAGAACCTTCAGTGCAAGCTGGACAGCCTCCTCCCTTGTGATATCATCTTTGTAATCTTGCTTCAGCATTGATTGTGCTGCTTGGTTGTTGGCACCAATAGCTGCAGCTTTCCATCCACCATAGTTACCACTAGGATCACTCATGTAAAGTTGGAAACCATAGTTTTTGTCCCATCCTGCAAACAGAAATGAAACACCAAAGGGGCGAAGACCACCAAACTGTGTGTAGCCTTGCTTGGTGTCACAAAGAGATTGAACCAGCTGTTCAACAGGCATAGGCTCCTGGTATGCATAGGTGTAGCGCTGTGCCTGGACCCTGGCAGTGTTGATGAGGATGTTTGCATCAGACATTATTCCCGCCACAGCACAAGCAACATGGTCATCAATCTTGTACATCTTCTCAGTGGAAGTCGAGGTTTGAAGAAGCTTGGAAGTAACTTTCTTTTCACCAACCAAGACAACACCATCCTTTGATAAAATTCCAATAGCAGAACCAGCATTTCCAATGGCCTCCATAGCATACTCAACTTGGTAAAGACGACCTTCTGGAGAGAAGATCGTTGTACGGCTATCATATCTCCGAGACATCTTTTGTTATATCTTATCTAAAAAATTCAAAACAATAAACCTATATCAGAAGCAAATGGTGATTGTCAATGCTTAGCCCCATTCACTAAGTTAATAATAATAACAATAATAGTAGTAATAATAATAACAAAACAATGAGAGAAAACACAACACAAAAAACAATAAGAGGAAACACTGACAAAGTACTGATTTTAATTAATAAAATAATAGACTTAATAAGAAAAACAATAAGAAGGAACACGGATTAAGCACTGATTTTAACCAGCAAATTACATGATAACAACCCTAAGAAATCATTTGATTATCAACAAGATGAAACACAGATTAAGTACTGATTTTAACCGGAAAATTACAAGATAAAAACTCTAAGAAGTCATATTATTATCAACAATATGAAACACAGATTATGTACTGATTTTAACAACCAAATTGCAGAATAACAACTCTTAAGAAATCATTTGATTATCAACAATTGAAGCATTTGCCAATTAAACAGATAGCCTCAAAAGCAGCCACTATAGTGCCCACTATTGAAAAACCGCCACACTACAGCAAAGGTCATAGCACCAGACCTTTTGAGCACTACAACACCATATTGGGTGTCACTGACTACACTGCCTAGCCCATGAGCTACCTCTCTAAAATTTGAGCTCACACATCACAATACAGACTTTTCAAGATTATTCTAATTGGGAAAACAAGACAGTAACAGAAATGGTTCCAGAGTTTTCAGCACTTTAAAGGCAGGCCACAGGGAAAAGGAAACCGCAATTAAAGAGAAAACCATTCATCCTGAGCTTCTTTTTGACACTGCCAAGCCACAACCTAGCCTATTCATGAAGCGAAAAATCATAGATAAAACCAGAAACTGACATGATGATTTTGTTGGTGTCTTCTAACAGTGAAAGAAACATAATGCAGACATCATCAAAAACCATCTCAAGCATCCTATTTCAACCAACTTATAGATCTCACACAGTCAAGGACAGTGGTAAAGCCAGATATTTATCTTTGGGGAGCAAAATTTTTCCAGTGGTGCCATAAAAAATACTCAAGTATAGTTTATAATGCCAATTCATTTTCTTTGAAACTTCTTCTCTTTTTCTCTTAAAAAAGATTTGATTGTGATGGGCGTTTTCAATTGATATGTTCTAACAAAAACAAGAAACGAATGCATTTAATTAAACCAGAAAACAAACATATATGGTGAAGTGCAAACGGCAGTATGTGTCTGGATTTCATTAAAATAAAAGGCAATATCACTTTTATGAAATCACAAGGAAATACAAGAAAAATTAAACCTTAAACTCGTGACCAACCAGAGAATCACTGACTAGAGCTGTGGATTAAACTTTAAACTTTTTTTTTTTTTAATGAAGTCACAGTCATCTCTAAATAAACAAGCTTTTAGTTTGTTATTAACTAGAAAGTGTATCCTGGATTCTAGATTGTTTTCTTCAGCATTTTGGCTCTAAAATCGAATACCCATCAGCTTCAAGTATTAGCATTTATTTATTTCAAGGAATTGATTTTCCCGATAATAGGATTACTGGTTTAGTTGGGCCAAAAACAGGAAAAAGATTACTGATTTAGGGTTACTGGTCAAGGAATTGAAGCACCACCCAGAAAACCAAAAAAACCACTACTTTAAATCTGCTATTGATCCATAACCCTATGCGAATCAGAATTTACAGAGAACTAGTGGGCATCTACAGAGTCAAATTCACCGATTTCTTCAAAAAATAAAAAATAAAAAATAAAAATCTTATCTTGTTGCATTCAAAAGAAAAACTCGATCAACACAACGCAACACAACCCATTCCGATTCACAAAACACTCATTCCACAACTAAATTGCAAGATTTCACATCAAATCAAAAGAAAAATAGAAACATAAGAAGAGATGGTAAACGCACCTGTGCCAGTGTAGTTCGCGAAGCTAAAATAGGAGCGAGAGAAAGGTTAAAATTAGGATTTAGTAATGAAGATGAAACTTGAAAGAGAAGAATTGCTGGAATGAGGAGAGGAGAAGGGATTCAGAATGTCTTACCTCAAATTTGGGGAAAGCTAAGTGCTGTTTAGAAGAAACTTGGAGAAAGGGAAAAGGGCACAAGAACAAAAGGGACTACGAGAGGGAGGGCAAAATGGCAAATCACCCCAATAGTTTTTGAATTGAAGCAAATTAGTCTTTAATGATAGGGTTGAAATAAATCGACATCAAATTTTATTTTAGAGAAATTTGGCCCAATTTAATAAGGAAAAAGTGTTCATTTATTTTATTTTTTAAAATTATAAGAAAAATTATTTTAAAATTATGTTATTTTAATAAAATTTTATTAAAATTAAAATATTATATTTTTAAAATATGAATTAGAATTAAAATATTTTTAATTTCTTATGATAAATATTAAAATTATATAATTTTATTATAGATTTTTTTAAATTTTTATTTTTTTATATTTAAGTTGAAGAAAATGGAGAGGATTTGGGGGAAAAGAGAGGAGGGGAATAGAGAGGAATGGAATGATAGAGAAGAGGGGTATATCCTTTTATTTTCCTTCCTTCTTCTTATTTAAATAAACAATTAAATTAAAAAAAAAATTTTTGTTTTTGCTTCCCTCCCCTCTGATTTTATTAATAACCAAATAAAGAATTTTTTTTTCTCCTCTCCTTTCCCTCAACTCAAAAATATTATTCAAGCAAAGCAGATTAGCACTAGTCCAATTGAATTACTAACATTAAATTTTTTTTTTAAAAAAAAAGGAACCTTCAAGAGTAATGGCTTAACTCAAAAATAATTGTGATGATTTACTTCAATTTTTATGAGTGCTGATTTAGTTCAACCTAAAAATAATGGGAGACAATGAGCACTTTCCAGGAGTTGTGACTTGTTGTGACTCGAAAATTATAAATTTTGAACCTTCTTTTTCTTTTTGAATTTTTACTAATTTTTTTATGATACAAATATCAACATATTGAGAAATGATTGAAAGATGATTTTTTTGATAATTTTATATACAATCTTATATACCATTAATGTTAAACTCTTTTTATAAACTTGTAATATTATATCAATTCACTTATTATTTAATAATATATAAAAATTACATTAAAAAAATAGTTGACATATCATTACCTTAGATTTTTAGCCTAACTACCAATGTTTTCAAAACCGGACCGGTCATTGAACCGTTTTCAGGTCCGGTTCCTGGTTTGACCGGTTCAACCGGTTGAACCGGTGAACCGGCCGATCCAAACAATAAAGAAGGTTTGATGAGAGGAGCAAGTTGTAAGCATGGATTTTTTTATTTAGTGTTGATAATTTTGTAATTTTGTTAAAGTTAAAGGTTAAAATGGGTATAAAAAAGGAATGGGAAGGGTGAAATTGGAAAAAATTGAAAGAAGATTGCATGAAAAATTGAACCGGTGATTTTT